CTAAAGAATTCTTCAGTCTTTTTTATGGGATAATTGTACTTTAGGTTGGCCTATGCACAGAAAGACAGAACTAAAGGCCACCATCATTTAAAAATATATTGTTATTGTAAATGTTTTTGTGAAATTTTGCCTATTTAAAACATTTTCCAGGGGCTGAGGATATAGCTCAGTGGGAAAGCACTTGCCTAGTATGTGTGCAACTCTGGGTTCGATCTCTGGCATCAGAGGAAAAACAAGAAAAAGTCCTCCAAAGTGAAATCTCTCTCTAACACAATGCCCAGGCCGGCTGTCCATGCCTGGTACCATTCTTCTGAAGATTCTCCTCTGCTGCTCCAAGAGGAGACAGACCACATTTCTTGTTAAATTATTACCTTGGAAAGTTTTGGCAGTTTTCCACTCAGTCATGTTTTTCACAGTCCTTTTGCTCTCCTGTTTACAGACCTGCTGGTTCACACTTAGCCAATGTCCAGGAGGGACTTGGCTCCAGGCAATCATTTTTTAAAAAAATCATTTTCAATTTTGACATCTCTGTGTTAGCTCTTATACGATATTATCTCAGCCTACTTTTTTTTTTTGACTCATATTACCCAGGAGACAACCTGCAGTGAACCTGGACTAGAATTTTACATAGCATCCTGAGTTTTTTAAAGGTTTTGGTATCTATTTCCTATAAATCTATGAAGTCTCTTCCCTTTTCTTTTGTATATATACATGATTTGAACAATTCCAGTGCCGTGCTTGTATTCTTATAATTTTCTTAGCCACAGGCAATTACTTTAATGAGAAGTGGACATATGATCTCATTTGGCAGATCTTCTTGCTTCCTTCTTTTCTGTTCCATGGGCATTTTGTACTTGGTTTGCTCCTCTGGTTTTGAACATAAGTCGGTGCTTTTCAGAGATCTCCCCTGGGCTTTAATATCTGCTCTCTTTATAAATAGAAACACCTTGTCATCTTCCTGAGTGACTGAATCCCTCTGGAACTACCAACCATGCAAAGGATTCCTGAACCAGAGACAGTAAAATGGCCCATTGATAGAACAGTAGGAAGCAAAATAGTGAAGGGAAATTTTGTTTCTAAATACACATACACACTCACTGATATAAAAGTGGCAAATAGTTCCAGAAACTAAGTACTTGCTAAAATGACCAAGGGAAGGGCTTCTGTACTACAAATATGTACTAATAAAAAAATAAAATAAAATGGCTTTCTCCATATGCCAGCCTCCAAGGAGATAAGAAAACATGTCACAACTTTTGTAAATGATGCAAAAATTAGTGTTTTACATGATGACTAAAGTAGTGTTTATGAACCAGTTTGTGCTCTTTGGTAAGATGCCAGGTACTGTACATGGTCAACACGGTATAAAATTGTATGTTTAGGTAAGTAATTACAAGAATATTTAATTCTCAAAGATAGTCAAAATTCTTTTTACATCAATTATTGGAATAACTGGTAAGAAAGTATCTGTCTGTTTGCTATTCCTGATTTATTTAAAAGCCTTGACAGCCAGACATGGTGGCGCATGCCTGTAATCCCAATATTTGGGAGGCTGAGGCAGGAGGACTGTTCCAAGTTTGAGGCCAGCCTGGGCTACATCATCAGTTGAAGGACAGTCTCAACTACACAGTGAGACCTTGTCTCAAAAAAAAAAAAAAATGCTGGACTTCACATATTTTGCTAATGTAATATTATAACCTGCACAAAAAACAGAACATTAAAGTTTAGTTTTTCCTCTGGAGACAAGTGGCTTCTTTAAATTTCTTCAGGCTTATAGTATAAATTGACATCCCCACCTCTCCTCAGTCCAGATGAATGGAAGAATATTCAGATGCTGGTACCAGGAGGTCAAACTCTAGCTTCATTTACACAGGGAAATGAGGGAGGGGACAGGATCTAGAAAGGAATGAAGCAAGCCCAGACAGCTCTATTATCTCACGGGTCTATTATCTCTCTTCTGCGCAACACACTTGTACATGAAGGAATGGTGATATGGGTGCTGAGGCTCCTCTTTCTCCTTGGATCTAGCTTTGAATAAATCCTTTTTACCAAAATAAATGGTCTCCTTTGCTTTGAATGGAGGCAAGCAAATCACCCTGAGCATATGAATCTAAGTGGCTGGTAATAGTATATGTAAATAAAATATGATGTCTCTCTGGGTCAAAAATAGAATAAGTACACATATGTGAAAGATTAGCTATGGGAAAGGGGAAAACAAACTAAACAGATCGAAGATATAAAGTCAGGCGTGGTGGCACACGCTTGTAATCCCAGCACTCAGGAGCTGAGGCAGGACTGTCATGAGTTTTGAGGCCAGCCTGAACTACACAGAGAAACCCTGTCTTAAACAAAAGTAAATAAAAATAAACATAAGGATTCTTGAAGCTTGGCATGAGAAGAATAGGAGATTCTGTGGGCAGGGAGGAGGTATGAATAGGACTGATGAAAGAATAGAACAAATAGCAAGTTTCAAAGGTGAGGTTGAACAGAGGAAATGACTCAGCCACAGGTTAAGGAGAACATTCCAGTTAGGTAAGGTGTAGGTAACAATGTAGGGAGAGCTCATTTCTTATATAGAGAATCCAGAAACTCACTACTATGTCCTCACGAGTCATGGACCCAAAGAAAAGGTGAGTAGTCTACAGAACATTCCAACGGAAGTGAACATTTTAGTTTTTTGTTGTTGTTTTTTTTTTTTTGTACCAGGGATCGAACTTGGGTCCCTGCGCTTGCAAAGCAGGCACCGGAACCACTGAGCTAAATTCCAGGCCTCCCAGTTGTTGTTTTTTTTTAAATAGGGTATCCCTATTTAGTCCAGGCTAAACTCATTCTATACCCTAGGCTGGACTTGAACTTGTGATCTACCTGCCTTGCTTGACCTCTCAGTGCTGGGATTACAGGTACGGGCCACTAAGTCCACCTGGCCTGTACTTTTAATACTCAGGCAGTTTCAGTCCATCTTCCTTTTCTTTTTCTTTTTGCTTTTTTGAGGAAGGGGCTTGCTATGTAGTTCAGGTTAGCCTTTTTTTTTTTGTTTTTTTTGAGACAGGGTCTCACTATGTAGTTGCTACTGACCTGAAACTCACTATGTAGCCCAGGCTGGTCTCGAACTCACAGCAATCCTCCTCTCTCAGCCTCGGGTGCGTGCACCACCACGCCCAGCTTCAAATTAGCCTTTAGCTCCTTGTGATCCTCCTGTCTCAGCCTCTGGAGTGCTGGGGATTATAGGCATGGCCACATTTGGCTTTTTTTTTTTTTTTTGAGACAGGGTATATGCACTCTAGGCTAGGTTGTTTTGAATTTGAGATCCTACTGCTTAGCCAAGTAAAGGGTTGTTAAAAGCACGTGCATATTGTTTCATTCAAAAAACATTTAAAACCCAAAACATCTTTGGCTATTCATTTAGGATTTTTATGTTGTAATCACAATATTTTTCCTTTTTTTTTTTTTTTTTGGTACTGAGGGGATTGAACCTAAGAGCTCTACTACGGAGCTATATCCCCGTATTTTCCATTTCGATCCACACATCCTACCATTAATGGTAAACTGTAAGTTCATTCACTTTAAAAACATCACATTGTTAGTTTAACGAGCCTCCTTAAAAGTTAAAAGCTATTCATCATTCTCAAGATCTAAAGGATTTCACGACCCCCTCTTCTCCCAAGAAAAAAGGGAAAACAATCGCTCTTTTCCTCTCTCGAACACCCACAACACAACCCATCCCAGAAGAGGACAGAGGGAACAAGTTACGGCAGACAGCTGTGTGCACGGAAACCGGCCAGAAATCAGTCACCTTGTCCGGAAGGAGCTGGGCGGTTTGCCAAAAGAGATCATTTCCCAAATCCCGAAAACTGGTGCTAAGAAATCAGATAGAGCAAGTGACAGGCAGAGAAAGAGGCCCGACCCTTTGGGACTGCCCGAAACACGCGAAGAATGCAGAAGAAACGTTAGGAATCCAGGGCGGGCCCGGCCAGAAGCAAGCAGGGTTTAAACCCAGCTCCGCAGGCAGGCACAACGCCGAGACCGGAGGGTAGAAAGCGGCGCCTGAGGACTGCCGGTGCGAGGACAAGGCAGCGCGAACCCAGAGGCCAGCTGGCTTCCAAAAGCCCAAGTCAGAGCCTCGCGTCTGTAACCTCACCGAGCACCGGTGCCGGCCCGGGGGCGGGGCTGCAGGCGGAGCCCGGGCTCTCCCCGCCCCCCTACTGACGACTCAGCGTGCCCAGTACGCTTGCGTAGGGTGAGGCCGGACTCTATTTGGCTATCAAGCGAGTGGCGGCAGCGGCGTTCTTTACCCGGCAGGCTGTGCGAAGCGGCGGCCCTACGTCTATCCCTTTCCCA